CGTGCACATTTCTATTTATGTATATTGTGAGGAAGAGTGTTAAAGCACGAAGGGTGATGTCGTGCATGATATTGTGAGGAAGAGCGTAAAGCACGAAGGGTGATACCGTGCACATTTCTATTTATGTATATTGTGAGGAAGAGTGATAAAGCACGAAGGGTGATGTCGTGCACTTGTTGTTTGTTGTGTTTCTTTATAGTTATCAATTCAACTGCTTTAATTGTTCAGATTTCTTTACTGTCGTGACCCTTGTGATGGAACCCCATAAAGTTTTCAATANGACCCTATGTACCGAGTAACATGAGAACAATGTTGTGTAAAGAGAGATAGAAATATGTGGGCACAAGGTGCCGGGTGTACTAAAAGTTTGGTAATTGAGGTTATGATATGAGACATCGAGTTGAGATGGCTGGAATTGTGGATCAGGAATGATATAATTTATTGAGCTGACATTGCCTTCCTTGTTTGAGTACATTTTTACTTGTCTGTGTTCCAACTATGTTGATATTAATTTAATTGGTTATCTTTCGTTTCTATCCGTGTTTCTCTTTATTGTTTCTTGTGATTGTAGTTTGTTCTTTCCCTGTTGTTGATATTACTTATCATTTTTAGGTTGATAGTTTATTATCAAATTCTGTTCAATTTAATTGACCAGTAGGTATCTGGACTGTTCCTCGTCACTACCCCACCGAGGTTAGTCTTGATACTTACTGGGCACCGCCGTGATGTGCTCATACTACACTTCTGTACATTTTTGTGTACAGATCCAGGTATTGGCCGATAGTGGTTGTGTGAATCGTCGTGGTGGAGACTCAAGGTAAACCTGTTGCAGCGTTCGTAGGTCTTAGAGTCACCTTCAATTGTACTTATTTCATATGTTCCTTTTGTTTCGGGACAGAGATGTAATTATTTTTGTATAACTACTCTTAGAAAGGCTTATGACTTGTACCACCAGTTTTGAAAATTGTAATTTGTTCAGAGTAATTTAATTTAAAGTTAGTAAATATCAATGGTACTTCAGTTAATGTTAGGTTTACCTAGTTTAGAGACTAGGTATCATCACGACTCCTTCGGAGGAATTTTTGGATTGTGACAAAATGAGATGGAGGGAATATATGCTATCAAGAAGACCTAAAAAGTCCAATGACTCCTTCCTAAATTTGAAACTCAAATACTACAAAGCACGCGTACTCACATGCATGAAACATAGATAAAAAGCATATCATTCTCCAAGTTGTTGAAAATATAAACGACGACTATACTATGATAGTTCATTACACTCGTATGGAAATGTCATGACAAAAATGGCAACTTACAGTTAAAAGGGTTCTTCACTTGTATCTAGCAATATAAGTTCAATACAGGACCAAGCCAATAGGGATTTCATTGATATCAAATAATGTGAGTGATATTGGACCACTAACTTCGGCCACAATATGGAAGATATGCAAACAATCCTGAGTTCTTTCTGTTCTAGGTCTAATATAGTTCAACGAATCGATAACAATGCCATCTAAAATAAGTTAAACAACATAAAGCACATTTTCCTTGCAAGTTGTTAGTTATCTTCTAAATATAATGTCAACTAGTTACCAAGTTATTTTTCAGGTTTTCTCAGAAAATATCCTCTTATTGGATCTTCAGTACTATATTAGTACGTACTAAAATTCATTACAGCCTTGGACATGCATATTTTAGGTTTTTCTCGTCTGGAAAACAAGGCCATAATTGATAAATTCCTACATTTCAATTTATATGACATAGTTTAAATTGACACAAGCTTAAGAAATAAATAAATAGTTTTAAAATTTATTATCTTAAATATATCATAGTATTAAAGTGGCTATTAAACATGCTATAATATTTCTTTCATTTCAAAAGCTCCACATTAAGGATAAAATGAGAAATATAAAGTTAAATGTTTTCAAATATAAAAGTATATTATTTTTTGAAAGGACGAATAAGGAAATAGGTCACATAAATTAAAACGGAAAACACTTAATTTTTACTTCGCCATCACCCCCAAAAAAAAAAAAAAAAAAAAAAAAAATCAGAGCATTTATGTTTGGACCACTAAACTAAGTACTTCCTTAAGACACGCATGTATCCTTTCACATATTAGTAGTTCTTCTACCACAGTTTAACTTTGCCACACCAGTGCAATTAAAAAGGGAATGAACTTTTTCATCTTAAGTTATTGAGTTATCTTTTGCCCAAAAATACAAGGTCAATCAAATGGGATGGTGTATTGGGAAAAATTAAGTTTATGCATATAAGATGACACGTCATGACACGTGGACCAGACGAAGAAGAATAAGTGATGAAAAATAATCAAAGAAGGCACGAGCTTCAACAGACACGAGCTTCAACAGGCATGGGTAGATGTTCAGAGAAAAAACAAGGAAAATAGATACTTGAGCCTTTTGTGATGGAAGGGAATGAATCTGATAGTAAATAAGATATAGATACGTACTATTGGGCATTAAATACAGAAACGTTAAGGAATCTGTATTGAATCAAATATGATTGCTGATTATAACGTTACATTAAATGTCATTCATAGACAATAATGACTCAATTATGGTAGAAACAAAACGTATTACCTTGAAATAGTTATAAAAGGAGAAGACTGATCATTTGTAAGGATACGAAATATCATCAGAATATAATGATTTACTTTGCTTTCTTCTGCTCATCATATTATTATCAAAATTAATTTCCTTTAGTCATTTTATTTTTTGATTATCAGTAACCTGAGTTCTTCTAAAATAAAGCTTTGACCGAAATTCATATTTTTGGTTAAACAAATTGGTTCCGTTACCGGGAATCTGATAATCACTTACCTTCTTAATCAATTCTTTCATCAAAAAACTTACCATGTTGAATAATGACGACAACAACCAACAAGATCCTCAACATCAGCAGAATGATGCGGGTGATAGGACACCACTTCCCTCACCGCGTGATTCACAACGTCAGTCACAAGAAGGAACTCCAGATGGCTATGAAACAAATAATGGGGTTGCAAATCAAAATAGATTCGAGGCAAACCAAAATGCTGGAGTTGCAAACAAACAAGCACTCGATGATGCCTTAAAAAGTATCATTGCTCAACAAGTTAGCAATGCTCTCCGAGCTTTTACCAGCCAATTGCCAATTGCACCACCAACACCGACTCCGAATCAGAATACTTTGGAAAACCCACATTCTGGGCTTGTTAACTCAGGCACTGGTGGAACTCCAAGCGAATCTCGCGATGGCGAATCAGGTAACATAATTAATTCTGATTTACAAAATTTAGTTCTAACCTTGCAGAGACAGCTCAAGGAGCAAAGCGATCGCATAGAGAAAATACTTGGAGTGTCATCCGTAATCAAAGGAATAGACATGGATAAGTACTCGCAACAACCATGGAAGCCTAGTGCTGCTCCGGTGCCGATCCCGAAGAAGTTCAAAATGCCTGATATTCCAAAGTATGATGGCACAACTAATCCACGAGACCACGTGACTGCATTCACAACTGGTGTGAAAGACAACGATTTAACCAAACAAGAAATTGAATCAGTATTGGTCAAGAGATTTGGTGAAACACTCACCAAGGGAGCATTAACATGGTATTCCCTTTTACCCGAAAATTCTATAAATTATTTTGCTGAGCTTGCAGATTCTTTTATCAAAGAGAATTTGGGAGCTCAAAAAGTTGAAAAAAAGAATGGAAGATATTTTCAAAATCAAGCAAGGAGATTCAGAGCTGCTTAGAGAGTTCGTGGATAGGTTCCAGCGTGAAATAATGACGTTACCACGCATACCTGATTACTGGGCGGCTATGGCCTTTGCCAGTAATTTGAATGAGAAAAGCTCAAAAGCTATGAGACGACTCAAGGAAAGTCTGCATGAATTTCCAGCAACAACCTGGAATGATGTTTACGATAGATACAGCACGAAGCTGAGGATAGAAGAAGGCACTATCTCCCGATCTCAGAAAGAGGAAAAGGTAAGTTCGAGACGTTCAAAAACCAAAAAAAGGTCAGTAAAATCAAGGCAAGATAATTCAAGGTACGATCACAGATCCAGAAATAAAGAGTCGGGTTCATCATCAAGGTTTGGAAACGATCGAAACACACGAGAAACCCAAGATGACGATAGAAACTTGAAGGCAAGATTTGGTGGATATAATTTTAATGTCAGCACTTCAGAGTTAGTAGCAGTATTAAGAGGCATGGGAGATAAGGTACGGTGGCCAAAAGAAATAAGATCGAATCCAAACAGGCGCAATCCTGATCACTGGTGCAAATTTCACAACGATCATGGTCATAAAACGACAAGTTGTAGATTATTATAAGGTGAAGTTGACCATCTATTAAAGTAAGGGTATCTGACCGAATTATTTAGTGAGAAAGGTAAGCAAACATACATGAAGAACAGGCAGGAGCCCCCTAAACCTCCTTCTCCAAAAAGGACTGTCAATGTTATAAGCGGGGGCGAGGAAATCAATGGCGTGGCGTATACCGCAGCTAATAAGGTCTCTAAAGTTATAATCACCCACGGGAAGCGGATACGACATGTGTTGGAGGAAGAAAGTATTATATTTGATGATGTAGATGTGGATGGCGTGTTAACTCCATATAACGATGCACTGGTAATATCTCTACTTGTATATAATATTAATGTGAAACGAGTTTTGATTAATCCAGGTAGTTTGGTGAACATTATTCTGTTAAGAGTACTAAATGAGATGCAAGCTGAAAATAAACTAGTACCAAAGGTGCATACTTTGTCTGGATTCGACAATTCAAGCGTGTGACGAAAGGGGAGGTAACACTTACTATATTCGCAGAAGGGGTTGTCAAAGATACAAAATTTCAGGTGGTAGAGATGGAAATGGCTTACAATATGATTCTCGGGAGACCGTGGATCCACGAGATGGTTGTCGTTCCGTATACCTTACATCAAGTTATTAAATTTCCATCACCATGGGGAATATGTCAATTCCATGGGGATCAACAGACATCCAGGAACATCAACTCCGTAGCAGATTCAAATATGAGAAAGGAAGAAAAATAGCAGTTACAGAATCCAGTTAAGGATACCACAACACAAGCCTCAACTAATGAAGATAGTTGATTTTTAAGGGATTCTCTATCATTATAGAAAGATAGTTCCGCAGGAACAATTTCATCCACTAAAGGTTCACGAAGAGGTTCAGTGGGTTCTTTACCTCTTGATGAAGACCTTTGAGAAAGAGAACCTCTGGTTCTAGATGGAGGAGTAGAACTCGATGAAGGAACAGAGGGAACTCGTGATGAAGAAGACCCTAAACTACGAAGCATTCCTCTTCTCCTACTTCTAATAGGAGCAAGAGATAGGTTGTCAATAATGGGGAATCTCCGAGGGTTAGGGTTTGAAGAAGACATAATAGTACGAGGAAGAAGAAACATTAAATTGAATATTCTGAACTTTTGTGAAAAAGACAAAGGTAAAAAGTTAAATTTATAATCAGAAGCAGCCGTCAAAGAAAAAGGCGCAATGATGGAAATGTCATAATGAGAACTATCGCTTTGTAATTGATGAAGCCGTAAAAAAGCCTTAAAAGGCGATGAAAGGTTGCAGAGCCAATCAGGAAACGCCACATGTCATGGACATTAAATGGAAGAGATAGATGAAGTATCAGTTCCAGAGAAGAATTAATGGCGGCAAATATTACCGCTTTAATGAGGTCCACTTCCCAAATATTTTATTGATGAATAAATGGCAAGTGGGGGGACTATCTGTATTGGGGAAAAATTATGTTTATGTATATAAGATGATACGTCATGACACGTGGACCAATCAAACAAGAATAAGTGATGAAAAATAATCAAAGAAGGCACGGGCAGATGTTCAGAGAAAAAACAAAGAAGATAGTTACTTGAGCCTTTTGATGATGGAAGGGAATGAATCTGATAGTAAATAAGGTATAGATACGTACTATTGGGCATTAAATATAGAAACGTTAAGGAATCTGTATTGAATCAAATATGATTGTTGATTATAACGTTACATTAAATATCATTAAATGTCATTCATAGACAATAATGGCTCAATTATGGTAGAAACAAAACATATTACCTTGAAATAGTTATAAAAGGAGAAAACTGATCATTTGTAAGGATAGGAAATATCATCAGAATATACTGATTTACTTTGCTTTCTTCTGTTCATCTTATTATTATCAAAATCAATTTCCTTTATTCATTTTATTTTTTAATTATCAGTAATCCGAGTTTTTCTAAAATAAAGCTTTGACCGAAATTCATATTTTTGGTTAAACAGATGGTCGCCACAAAAATTTCTTGTTTCCCCCATCAGTAACATGCTCTAGTCATTTTTCTAGACGTCGTTGTGTTCTCAACCTGCATGATACTTTTCTCATGCTACATATCATCAACTATAATTACAATAATCTACATTTCTACTTTCTGTATCCTCTATTTTTCATAACACTAAGAGGTTTAAACAAACTCCAAATCTGCTTATAATCTGCAGAAAGAATGTTGGAGTGTTTTATTTCAAACCAAAAATAAAAATGATTGAGTAACTATCAAACCCATAATAAGCAAATCATGAAGGCCTAAAATATTATTCCTCTCTACTCTCTAGGCAGGGATAAGATCTGCCTATACACTATCTCCCCATACCCCACTTGTCAAATTTTACTGAAGTTTTTTGTTGTTGTTGTTGTTGTACATACGACATATTGCACTAAATCGTTCTTCATGCATCAGGACAATGAAAGATGATGAACAAAATATTAAGTTACTCCTACTAATATGTAAATATAAAACTTAAAAGACATCATATTCGTTGCCGGTTTGAGATTCTTATGGAAAATATTATTGAGGTTATACACCAAGTACACATGTGATTCAACTTTGAGAAAAAATTTTGAGCAAATATTCTCAGAAGAAGTTATAACGCCTTCAATTCGAATCAGAGAATAGCATGCATTAGGTCAGAAAAATTGGATAAAAAGCAAAATTAAAGTACACAATGTTTTTCCCGCAGTTACTACACAAGTAGACATTATTAATTAATAACAATAATAGAGAACACTTTGATGCATCTTGTGTGAATACTCTTAAATGTCGTTTAATTTTGTTATCTTTTGGCACATTATGTTTTACTTAGTAGGCCCACCCGCAGGCAATGCATTTAATCAAATAAAAAGCCATTTCATATAGTATCTCTTATTACATACAAGTCACATCTCCCATATGCAAAAGATTATTCAAAAGTTAAAATACCATCCACATAACATGGCAACAGAAAAAGGTATTGCCATATATGCTGTATGAATACTTATGCATTTTGGTACAAGACAGTGAAAGAAAGGGTAAATTTAAGATGATTTACGTTGCACAATTTCAAAACAAAGAAGTAACCTCTTTTCTTTTAGTATGTTAAATTTTTTTTACATATTTCTGTATTCAAAAATAAAATTAACTTTAAACTTCGTCTTTTATCCATAACGAGATGTTCTTATAGGCACAAGAATATTATGACATGGTTTAGACCGGTACTAGTTCTAAAGATATATAGTACGTGACAAAAAACTTTATTTCTTTCTTAACTCTTCCGGCCAAAACTCTTTTATCCCGTCAAATACCACCATATAAAATAAAAAAACATAAGCAACAAAGACAGTTCATGTAAACAACTCAACTCTGCATCCATATTTTTAACTAAAACTCAGACATCACGCCCTCATTTTTCTCCCGTTAGTTTTTCCTATATCATGCTCCTATATATTCTCCGTAGAATCTCTTCATTGTTCTAAACTACTACTATTATATAGTATTTCGCTACAAAGAGGTGGATGTGGTGCTTTAATGTTAAACTCAGTAAATCAAATGGTAGTAGAATTCGAAACATGAACCGACAACATTCAAATTTTGGATCCTCATCTAATTACAACTAACATAACTATATATGTCACATTAATACAGTAATCAAAGTCAATGTCAATTGGGTCATGAGACTTTTTTTTTTTTTTTTTTTTTTT